CATTATATTACATTATTATTGTACTATGTTCCTGGGTTCTAAATGTTGTCTCCTCCTTTTCAGGAAAAAAGTCAAGACCTGACAATGGAACCTGGCTTGATGTATCTGACCCAAACTTGGCCCACAGGTCCTTCCTTCTCCAACTTCAAATACTATAGAGAAAGATAGAAGTTTTAATACAGTGGTGTCACTACCAGTTACAACCCAGGCAGATTTGGGGCTGAGGGGATTGGCACCTACTCAGATCTGGGGTGTTGCAAACTGAACAGGTCTTGGACCAATGGGAATTGCAACCCATCTCCTATATGATTTTATACAGTCTCCTATTATATAGGTATCCATGCTGTCATGGGAGAATTAATAAAATCGAAATGCAAAACAATCCAGTTTTGCTCCAATGCCCTTCCCAGCCATGTACACGCTGACCCCTTGAAGCCCCATGATTATACTCCGTTCATCTCAGGAAGAATCTGTGCTCAAGTCAATGAGTATTAAAATAATTGGATTGGTTGTTTGGCTGGAGCAAACCTAAGATAGATGCCCTTCCCTTTTGAAAATCCACTAATAGGAAGTGTCAAATGGTCACGGGATGGAGGGGTAGTCCTACAAAAACCACTGAACACACCCAAGGGTGCATTTACACTGCAGAATTAATACAGTTTTACTTTAACTGCTACTACTCAATGAATGGGATCAGGGCCATTATAGTTTTACAAGATATTTTGTCTTTGTTGGGAGAGTGGGCTTTTTAACAAAATACCTTCCTCATAAATGCACAGCAGAGTAACTTATCAGTAGCAGTGTGACCCAGCACCAGTAGCTCAAAGTGATAAAAAGAACAAAAAAACACAGAAAAATGTTATATCTTCCAAAGGAGGCCTTTCTTTGTAATGAAATAATATAGAATCCTAGTTGGAAGAGACCTCATGTACCATCCAGTTCAACCCCCTGCCAAGAAGCAGGAAAATAACATTCAAAGCACCCCTAACAGATGACCATCCAGGCTCTGCTTAAAAGCCTCCACCACACTCCAGGGCAGAGAGTTCCACTGCTAAACAGCTCTCATAGTTAGGAAGCTCTTCCTCATGTTCAGGTGGAATCTCCTTTCCTGTAGTTTGAAGCCATTGTTCCATTGCGTCCTAGTCTCCAGGGCAGCAAAAAACAAGCTTGCTCCCTCCTCCCTATGACTTCCCCTCACATCTTGATCCATGGCCATCATGTCTCCTCTCAGCCTTCTCTTTTTCAGGCCAAACATGCCCAGCTCTTTAAGCTGCTCCTCATAGGGCTTGTTCTCCAGACCCTTGATCATTTTGGTCACCCTCCTCTGGACACATTCCAGCTCGTCAACATCTCCCTTCAACTGTGGTGCACAGAATTGGACACAGCACTCCAGGTGTGGTCTAACCAAGGCGGAATAGGGGGGAGCATGACTTCCCTGGATCTAGACACTAGACTCCTATTTATGCAGGCCAAAATCCCATTGTGGGCCAGCTGTGCCCGTACCTTGGGAAGTCTGACTTGGCCACGGTAGTCCATGCTCTGGTTACATCTCGTATAGACTACTGCAACGTGCTCTATGTGGGGTTGCCTTTGAAGACTGTTTGGAAACTCCAAATGGTCCAATGAGCAGCATTCAGGTTGCTAACAGGTGCGGCGCTCAGGGAGCACACAACTCCTCTGTTGCGGCAGCTCCACTAACAGCAAGTTTGCTACTGGGCACAATTCAAAGTGCTGGCTTTAGCCTATAAAGCCCTAAATGGTTCTGGCCCAGCTTACCAGTCCAAACATATCTCTCCTTATGAACCATCCAGGACTCTAAGATCGTCTGGGGAGGCCCTGCTCTTGGTCCCACCTTTGTTACAGATTCGGCTGGAGGGGAGGAGGGACAGGACCTTCTCAGTGGTGCCCCCCGACTGTGGAACGCCCCTCCTAGGGATATCAGATCAGCCCCCTCCCTCCTAACGTTTCACAAAAAAGTTAAAACCTGGCCTTTTGAGCAAGCATTTACAGATGCAGCGTAACAGACAAAGTTAGATCTACATAAAGGCTGGACAATGCAACTGGATAATGATTTTAGTAATGAGATGCTGAGGATTCATGTTTTTAGTGGGTTTTTTGATTGTGTGGTTTTATATTTATGCTAAACTAGCTGTACCTGCCACGTGTTGCTGTGGCTAACCTTCCTTCCCTCTTTCTCACTTTTTTTTCCTTCTTTCTTCCTCTCTCTCCTTCCTTCCCTCTTTCTTTCCTTCCTTTATTTTTCTTTCTTTCTCTCCTTCCTTCTCCTCCTTTTTTCTTTCTCTCCTTTCTTTGTTCTCTACCCATTCTTGGCCTGTAACTCCAAGCATTCCTCCTGATTGATCTATCTACCTACTATTTATCTATCTATGTCTAATATATATATATTATCTATCTTGAGGATTGCTGGGAGTTGCAGTCCAGGAATAAGAAATAGGAATGGATTGGGATGATCTCAAAGAAATCCAAGGAGAAGCAAGCTTGCAGCTTGGAAACAGTGCATTTGGAGAATCCTCCTCCCCTAAAGGGCCTGGTCTAGGGGATGCTGGGAGCTGTCATTTTCACACATGCGCTGTATCATCATTTAGCTTTTTTTGGGAGGAGTTTATGAGTGATGGTCACTCATTGGTCTGTTAGGGGTATAGTGTCCAAATTTTGTGTCAATTCATCCAGTGGTTTTTGAGTAATGTTAATCCCACAAACGAACATTACATTTTTATTTATATAGATATTTTTAATTGTGATTTATGTTGTTGGGGGTATCGAATTGTGCCGTTGTGTAAACCGCCTTGAGTCGCCTTTGGGCTGAGAAAGGCGGTATATAAATATGGTAAATAAATAAATAGGCTTTTTTGCCGCCACATAACATTGTTGGCTCATGTTCACCTTTCTGTCCACAAGGACTCAAAGATCTTTTCACATGTACTACTCTCAAGCCAGGCGTGCCTCATTCTGTATCTTTGCATTTTATTTTTTTCTGCCTACGTGGAGTTGCACTATTTTCAATAATAAGGTTTCTGTAACACAAATAAACGAATACATAGTAGCTTTACACGCAGTAGACTTTATACACAAGGCTTCTCTCATACTAGGCCATCTCATATCAGGCCTTTTTCATACTGCGAGGTCTACCTCACAGAGAAGCCTCCTCACACAGACTGAAGAGTTCCCTCACTGAGGCAAATTAACACTGGCAGGCTTTGGCCTAGTCACTCTCCTCAGGGCAACCCTAGATTGGCCCACCACCAAGAGGCTTCGGCCTACTCTTTCAGTGCTTGACCCATATAAATAAAAATATAATGTTCGTTTGTGGGATTAACAGAACTCAAAAACCACTGGACGAATTGACACCAAATTTGGATACAAGGCACCTAACAACCCAATGTATGCTCTTCACTCAAAAAAAAATTGATTTTGTCATTTAGGAGTTGTAGTTGTTGGGATTTATAGTTCGCGATCAAAGAGCATTCTGAACCCCCATCAACGATGGAATTGAACCAAACTTGGCACACAGTTCTCCCATGACCAACATAAAATACTGGAAGGGTTTGGTGGGCAGTGTCCTTTGGTTTTGGAGTTGTAGTTCACCTACATCCAAAGATCACTGTGGACTCAAACAATGATGGATCTGGACTAAACTCTACACGAATACTCAATATGCCCAAATGTGAACACTGGTGGAGTTTGGGGAAAAATAGAATCTTGACATTTGGGAGTTGTAGTTGCTGGGATTTATAGTTCACCTACAATCACAGAGCATTCTGAACCCCACCAATGATAGAATTGGGCCAAACCTCCCACACAGAACCCCCATGTGGGCCACAGCAATGCGTGGCTTCTTCTTCTCATGTCAGGGCAGCCAGTCAATTATATTACATTTCTAACAGAACAAAGCAAACAAACAAACAAACAAACAGAGAAAATACAAAACGTGTGGGTTTGGTAGTTGATTAAATATCCTTTGACCAGTATCTGGCCACTTGGGAGTGCTTCTGGTGTTGCTGCAAGGAGGTCCTCCATTGTGCATGTGGCAGGGCTCAGGTTGCATTGCAGCAGTTGGTCAGTGGTTTGCTCCTCTCTGCACTCGCATGTTGAGGATTCCACTTTGTAGCCCCATTTCTGAAGGTTGGCTCTGCATCTCGTGGTGCCAGAGCGCAGTCTGTTCAGTGCCTTCCAAGTCGCCCAGTCCTCTGTGTGCCCAGGAGGGAGTCTCTCATTTGGTATCAGCCATTGATTGAGGTTCTGGGTTTGAGCCTGCCACTTTTGGACTCTCGCTTGCTGAGGTGTTCCAGCAAGTGTCTCTGTAGATCTTAGAAAACTATGTCTGGATTGAAGTCGTTGACGTGCTGGCTGATACCCAAACAGGGGATGAGTGTGGCAGGAGACGGCTAGTTTGTAATAAAAATACCCACTTAGTTGTTGTATTTTTTTTCGGGCTATATGGCCATGGTCTAGAGGCATTCTCTCCTGACGTTTCGCCTGCATCTATGGCAAGCATCCTCAGCGGTAGTGAGGTGAGGATGCTTGCCATAGATGCAGGTGAAACGTCAGGAGAGAATGCCTCTAGACCATGGCCATATAGCCCGAAAAAACTACAACAACCCAGTGATTCCGGCCATGAAAGCCTTCAACAATACAGTACTCACTTAATTTTTAATATTGCTGACAGCCTTCAGAGACAGAGGAGTGAAACCTCGCCAAAGTACAACTCCCTGTATTCCATAGCATTGAGCCGTGGCAGGGAAAGTGGTGCCAAACTGCATTACTTCTACTGTGTAGCTGCACCCTGACGGAAAAGGACAAAGCCGATTATTCTGCGAGCACGAGACACCAAATACAGAAAGCGGCCACTCTCGCCCCGCCCTCTTTGTTGGCTCAGCCCACCAATCAGAGCGCGAATCGCTCCGAGCCCCGCCCCTGCGTGACGTCGCTGTTGCCTCTCCTGTGCGGCCTGTACGTGGCAGCGGGCCCGTCAGCGGCCAATGAGCGAGGGCCCCGTGCCCCGGAAGGGGAGGGCCGAGAGCCGGAAGCGCTCCTCAGCGGCCGCGGATTCGCTCGCCCTGTGTGCAGCTGCAGCGTCGCGTCCTTCGCCGCCGCCCTCCTTCCTTCCTTCCTTCCTTCTTTCCTTCCTTCCTTCCTTGATCTCCGCGGCCTGCTCCTCTCGCTCGCCGGCCTTCTTGCCTGCCTGCCTGCCTGCCTTCCTGCTTGCTTCCCTCCCTCGCTCGCCGCCATGTCTCCGGTGCGGGCCGTGGTGGCGCTGCTGGCTGCGCTCTGGGGCCCGGCGGCCGGGTACTTCGTCAGCATCGACGCGCACGCGGAGGAGTGCTTCCTGGAGCGGGTCCCGTCGGGGACCAAGATGGGGCTCATCTTCGAGGTGGCTGAGGGAGGCTTCCTGGACATCGACGTCGAGGCAAGTCTGCTGGGAGGCGCGGATGAAGAGGGAGGGCCCCCTGCTCTTCAGTCAGAAGGGAGTTCCTCCGAGGCTCGGGCTTTCGGTCGCCAGAGCCAGAATAATAATAATAATAAACAACTTTATTTATACCCTGCCACCATCTCCCCAATGGGGACTCGGAGCGGCTTACATGAGGCTAAACCCAAACAGAAAATTACAATCAAATAAAACCGAAAACGCAAACAACACAATTACATAAAACATATGAAAACATAGCAATATAAAATTACAATAGGCACAATCACAATGACAATGGGCGGGCTACATGTAATGATTAAAAGAGACTGGTTAAAACTAATTAAAACTCAGGCGAGATAAGAGAGGGACAGATTATTTGCGGAGGAGGACTCATTATAGTGGGGGTTGTGGAATCAGGCTTTCTCACAAAGGGGGGGGCATATACTCCAATGACAAAACGTTGAGGCTAAGCAATAGTATGAGAATGTAAACCTATTCATCAAAAGCGCAGCGGAAGAGACAGGTTTTAAGATCCTTTTTAAAGGTTTCTAAGGTAGGGGCTTTCCTAATTTCTCCAGGTAGTGAGTTCCAGAGTCAGGGGGCCACAGAGGAGAAAGTTCTCTCCCTTGTGCTTACCAGGCAAGCTTGTGAAATTGGCAGGGGCGAAAGAAGGGCCTCCCCAGAAGAACAGAGGGCCCGAGTTGGTTCATGGAGGGAGATACGGTCACGAAGGTAGGCAGGTCTCAAACCTGCTTTCCTCTCCTAAAAGAAAAAGAAAAAAAGCTGAGGCCCTGCCCCCCCCTTCCCACGCCCACCCCCTTTCAGCCAAACCATTTTTGCAAAGTCCACAGAGTAGTTTGTCTTTTTCGGAATTATTTTAATTATTGGGTTGCCCTGAGTTTGCCAGGCTTTCTGGCCATGTTCCAGAAGCATTCTCTCCTGACGTTTCGCCCATATCTGCAGCAGGCATCCTCAGAGGTTGTGAGGCAAGTGGGGTTTATATATATACCTGTGGAATAATGTCCAAGGTGGGAGAAAGAACTCTTCTCTGTTTGAGATAAGTGGGAATGTTGCCATTGGCCACCTTGATTAGCACTGAATGGCCTTGCAGCTTCAAAGCCTCACTACTTCCTTCCTGGGGGATCCTGTATTGGGATGTGTTAGCTGGCCCTGATCGATTCTTGTCTGGAATTTTCCTGCTTTTTGCGTGTTCCTCTTTATTTACTGTCTTGATTCTGGAGTTTTTAAAATACTGGTAGCCAGATTTTGTTCATTTTCATGTTTTCCTCCTTTCTGTTGAAATTGTGCACATGCTTGTGGATTTCAGTGGCCTCTCTGTGTAGTCTGACATGGTGGTTGTTGGAGTGGTCTAGCATTTCTGTGTTCTCAAATAATATGCTGTGTCCAGGTTGATTCATCAGGTGCTCTGCTATGGCTTTCTCTGGTTGGATTAGTCTGCCGTGCCTTTCATGTTCCTGGATTTGTGTTTGCATGCTGCGTTTGGTGGTACCTCTGTAGACTTGTCCACAGCTGCACAGTATACAGTAGATTCCTGCAGAGGTGAAGGGATTCCTCTTGTCTTTTGGGTTTTCTTCATGGGTCTGTAGATAATTTGTCGGTTGTGTTTCTTCAGTGGCTTCCTTATGCGGCCATTGGTTCCCTTGATGTATGGCAAGAACACTTTTCCTCTGGGTGGATCTTTGTCTTTACTCTTGTGGTTGGTTCCTGGTCTTGCAGCTCTTCCGATGTCTGTGGTAGAGCCTCCATTATCCTTTAGAACCCAGTTTTTTTATTATCATTATCACCATCCTGATTTCTTCACCTAAAAAAAGTCTTGTTGGCTGAATCTCCTACTATGCACACAGAAGGCCACATCAATAGAGTTGGGAGGGACTGCTAACGCCTTCCCCCCATCCCAAATGCGGCTCAAAGCTCCTCGACAGGGGACCTTTTCTGGGAAGGTCCCAGCTTTGTGGAACGCTCTCCCCTGAGAAAACAGGGCCGCCCCCACTCTTATTATTTAGGAAAGGAGTGAAAACTTTAAGGTGTGAACAGGCCTTTGATGGAAATTAAAATTGTACATGGTCTTCAGTTCTCTAGATCCAAGAGCACAAGAAATTGGCTCCCAATGGAGTTACGTTATATTTGTAAATAGAGTTTTGTCGCTGATGGCGTTAGATAATCAGGTTGTGATAAGGAATTTATCAGGTTTTAATCTGTTTTAATTTTTTATTTTGTATATTCATATTGTATTGTTAGCCACTTTGAGTCTCATCTTGGTGCGGGAGAAAAGTGGGGTAAATATTGACTCAAATAATAATAATAAATAATAAAATAATCTACACTGCCAGAAAACTTAATTTGTGAATGCAGGTTGACTTCATTGGATTTAGCTATGCAACAAGATTTGAATAATGTTCTGTTAATGGTTTGAAAGGGCCCTTACAGGCAACTTCCACCCATATGTATAAAATTCCACATTATCTGCTTTGAACTGGAATATATGGCAGTGTGTACTGAGATAACCCAGTTCAAAGCAGATATTGTGTGATTTTCTGCCTTGATATTCTGGGTTATAGGGCTATGTGGAAAGCCCCTCAGATAACCCAGTTCAAAGAAGATATTGTGGATTATCTGCCTTGATATTCTGGGTTATATGGCTGTATAGAAGGGCCCCCAGACAGGCCCTATATCTCAGGAACTGTTCCCAGGTTTTCTGTTTATTCCAGATTATTCTGGCGGTGCATACTCCTATAATCGACTTTAAAGCAGAAAACCTAGGATCAGATCCTAGGATATTAGGAAGTTCTTCCTCATGTTCAGGTGGAATCTCCTTTCCTGTAGTTTGAAGCCATTGTTCCGCGTCCTAGTCTCCAGGGCAGCAGAAAACAAGCTTGCTCCCTCCTCCCTATGACTTCTCCTCGCATATTTATACATGGCTATCATGTCTCCTGTCAGCCTTCTCTTCTTCAGGCTAAACATGCCCAGCTCTTTAAGCCACTCCTCATAGGGCTTATATCTCCAGACCCTTGATCATTTTAGTTGCCCTCCTCTGGACACGTTTCAGCTTGTCAATATCTCTCTTCAATTGTTGAGCCCAGAATTGGACACAATATTCCAGGTGTGGTCTAACCAAGGCAGAATAGAGGGGTAGCATGACTTCCCTGGACCAAGACACTATACTCCTATTGATGCAGGCCAAAATCCCATGTTTCTCCTGCAAAAAGCTCTGTTATATTAGGTTTGTCTTTATTTTGCTTGTCACTATCAATCTGAATTCACTCCAGAGTTTATGGTATGGGATAGTATTAATTAGACGTGTTTTGAATAGCAGATCTCAAGCAACCAGAAATGTATCTGCCATTGACCTGACCAATCCCCATGGCTGGATCTACATAAGAGGAAAAGGCAGTCTGTGAAAACAGGGTCAAAGTACAGCACTATACAGACTGAGGCAACTACATCTCACCCACAAAGACTTGATGGAAACGAAGAATATGGAGGAGGGAGTGTGGATCCTGGAGGAGGATGTTGAGTTGGGAGAATGTGGAAGAAAGGTGAAAAGAAGGGCAGTGAAAGGTTTCAATGTTGTAAAAGGTGATAGAAAAGGTGATAAAACATGCAGGCAGTAAGAGGCTTTTCCCCTTATGGTTACTTCCCATGCTTTTCCTTGACTCTCTGTGGCGCAATTCATAGGGGAAGTCACAAGCAACAATTGATCGATCGATACGATACTCTACAAGTTAGTTTTCATACTCTGGATGTCATCATTTGGCAGGTTGTTATACACAGTGCACTGTATTATTACATGGTAGATGCTTATATTTTTTGAGATGGAATTGTGGAAAGATGAGCTGAAGGCTTACCCAATGAAAACATATTTTGGATGTCTCTTGCTATGATGGTTGCACACTTAAAATGTGAATAAAGACTTTCTTAGGTCCCATTGACGTTCTTTTTCATAATGGGCTAATATTGTAAAATTGGAAGAGACCCCAAGAGCCGTCCAGTTTGACCCCATTCTGCTGTGCACACACACACACACACACACAAACAAAACACTTCTGATAGATGGCCATTTAAATTGTGTTGGGGGAAAAAAAAGACCTTCCTAACTGCTGTTGATGGCCTTGAAACAGCCACAGGGCACAAGTGCACAAAGCTTGAGTTCTTCCATCAGGTCAGGTTTCACTATACCAGCTGACTTTTCTTTATGCCAGTGTCACTGCAGAATGTAATATAGAGAGGCAGTGCTCTCCTAGGCTGTGCTGCTTTTAAAATCTTACTCTAAAAGTGTGGTGTCTGGATGTAAAATAGCATGGGGTGGGTTCTTAATTCTTTTCTCTGCTATGCCAACAGCTTGTTACCCACCTCTGTGAATGTTCAGAAGTAAGGTAAACTAAGATGATTAGTGTTCAGTGCAGGTAATTAGTAACAGCTTTTCTTCTGTTTCCAGATAACGGGCCCTGATAAAAAGGTCATCTACAAAGGAGACCGAGAGTCCAATGGGAAGTATACCTTTGCTGCTCACATGGATGGGACGTACAAATTTTGTTTCAGCAACAGAATGTCCACCATGACTCCCAAGATAGTGATGTTCACTATAGATATTGGTGAAGCACCAAAGGGGCAAGATATGGAGACAGAAGGTGAGCAGATTCAGGAAACAAATTGTTCTGATTCACCCAGCTCTCATACTCAGAGCGATTGGCTTCTCCATCTGTGTCTTTCAACTGTGATGCCATTATTAATATCCAGTTGTTTTCTTTTTAATATAAATGTCTGTTGTGTCATAACTTAGTCCCCTCTCTTTTTCCTCACAATAGAAATTGATTGGTGTATGTGTGTATAGGACAGATCTCCCATGTACTTTTTGGAAAAATCTGTAGTTTGTTTCTTGGGTGCTTAAAAAGTAACTCCTGGATTCATAGATTTTCCCCAATTCTCTTAACTACTACGATTTCCAAACTTATTTTCCTGTGCTCAGGGAGTCCTGGACTGGAGAGCAGATGAATGTGCCTTGCACTGGTTTAGTAGACTTGCCAGTTCTTGGCACTGATTATGTTGTAACTCTTTCCTATTTCTTACAGCCCCCACCTTCCTTGCTCTGTGTGAGGAGCACCTTTTCCTTTAATGACTCTGAGTTGGTGAGGCATGATTTGGAAAGAGTTTGTTGTGTTTCTATTACATGCTGTGGCCAGTCACTTTCCCTCCTTTCCATCTGCTCTAGTGAGCAGAGTCCCCATTGTGCTCTGCAGTGAAAGGAACTTATGAGTTGACTGTTCCAGCTCTGCCTAATTTCCTGGAGCTGTTTGAGCATGTAGGGGATGCCAACCTTTCTTGCAAATGTTTGAAAGCACATGACTTCTCTGTTTGCCAGTGTGGCACAATGGGGGTAGGCTGAAACTAATATTGGCCCTTTTGTCTGTGACATCTCTAGCCTTCTGTCCTGAAACTTGTGTTCATCTCTAATACTTCTCTCTAGGTGGTGGAGATACCTGGGATGGTATGTGCACTGCTTTTTAAGGAGCTTGCTAGTCTCTTACCTTGTGTTTCATAATCTACTGGCAGCTGTTGGGATTTGGTTGTGTGTGTGTGCTCACGTGTGAGATTTCTTGCTCGCATATGTCGATAAGCACAGTTGTTTCTTGTTTGGCATTGAGGGTTTAGGGTAAAACCTCTTTGGGATCAAACCCCCTGCACAATTTGAATCCTGTTATTGTTTCTCACCTGTTAGGCTACCTCAGTGTAGTTAGTAACTAGGTAAAATGCTGGCTCCTGCATGCCTACCTGTCCTTTGCTTTATAGATACCTTCAATAGGCTATGTTGTGCTTTACCTTGGTTTTTATAGTATCCTGGTTCCTTCTTCCACTTTCTTGTTTATGCCCTTGTCCAGAAGCATAGCTATGAGAAGGAAAATTAGGCTTTCTCCACTAAACAAGAACTCTGTCTCCTCCGAATGAAATTTTCCTTCAGTTCCCTAATTTCTAAAATTGCAGAGAGTGAGAGTTTGGAAATATTTTATGCGTCAGAGTCTGCCATGTGTTTGCACTCCCATGTCATTTTGTTAGCCCCATTTCATTGGATGGCTAAATTGTATTTCTAAGTGCTCAATGAATATGAGATATTGCAGTGCTAGAAATTGGGCAACTGAAAGAGGTTCTCCTCCCTTGGCCTGAAGGTTTGAAGGCAAAAGCGTTTTCTAAAAAATCTCTTTGATGTCTCTATGTCCTTTCACCCATCTTGCTGATATTTTGGTTCTGATTTTTGGCAGGAAGCATAGAGCTGGACTCAATAGCTACATGAATTACTCCAGCTCTGTGATGCCTTTGTACTTTCTCTCCATTTGTTGCCAGGAACCTGAGTGCTGAATCCATAAAACCCTGGCAAAACAAATCAGTTTGAGGAGTTTTCTCTGATGAAAACCAGTTGATGTAAAAATGCATGTGCAGGTGTCGGCATGGTTAAAGTGTACTAATAGGCACTTGTTTGCATTACTTGTGTGACTGCCTTGGTCTTGAATGCCCTGTTGTAAGGACTTCCTTGATTTCCTCATTGTGCTTCTTTCACTTTATGACTGTTTCTTCCTGTCTAGAGAGATTTGTACCTCTATATGGTAACAGAACATAGTGATGGTAAAGTAACTTTTGCCAGTGTTTCCCAAAACAAGTCAATTAAAGTTACTGGAGGTGGGATGGGAATGGGCGGATATGGTGTGAAATGGTGAGGCTATCTGGGAGCTTGTTAATACCCATATAGGTGCTCTGTTTTGGAATATATACAGGGTGCAGCAGCATAACTTCCTTTTTTCAAAACTTTATAAAATCCATTGTATGAATCAGATTTTTTTTATAATGTAGGCACATACCTAAAGTTTTGTTTTACGTAGTTTTGAAGATCAAATTAGGTAGGTGACGTCCCCCATTCTCCATACACTGAGTAAACCGATTTCTGGCATTTGTCATGACTCTTGCCAGCATAGCAGGTGTTATGTTGGCAATTTCTTCTTGGATGTTGGTCTTCAAATCTTGTAGGGTTCTTGGATGGTTTACATAAACACGGGATTTCAAAAAACCCCATAGAAAAAAATAACAAGGGGCCAAATCTGGAGAGCAGGCGGCCACTCCAAATCCCCCCAATTGAGGTGAGGCGCTCTGGGAAGTGTTCCCTCAAAACAGCCATCAATGCTCTTGAAGTGTGTGCAGTTGCACTATCTTGTTGGAATCAAATGTCCCCTAAGTCAAACCCATCTAGCCATGGGGAAAAAAAATCCTGTAACATGTTTACACACGATTCTGAATTCACTGTCACTGCGACTTTTCCTCAAAGAACCAGGGACCAATAATTCCAGCTGAGGAAATTGCACACCACACTGTGATTTTAGGTGAATGCAGAGGCCTTTGATGCAATTCTCGAGGATTGTTGTCAGCCCAGTAGCGCATGTTTTGTTTGTTGACGGATCCACACAAATGAAAATGGGCTTCATCACTAAAAAAAACAATAGCATCCTCAGGAATGACTTCGAGAAGAACCTCACACACGTTCCTCTGAGAATTGAAGTCATGTTCAGAAAGTTCCTGCACAATCGCCATCTTGTAAGGATGGAAATGAAGATCATAATGAAGAATTCTCACAGAACGATCGGAAAGTCCAAGGGCAGACACATGTTTGCGCACAGAACGCCGTGGTGATCGCAACATTGAAGCTCTCACTGCCTCAATGTTCTCAGGTGATCTAATTGGCCGAGGGACTCCAGTTCTTTGTCTTGTCTCACCTGCAAGTTGTCTGAATGTAGTGAGCCACATCACAATTGATTTCCGGTCTGGGACAGGGGCCAATGGGACTAAATTAAAGCGATTCCGAAAGGCACGCTGGGTTGCAATCACAGAACATCTGCTCGAAAAGTAGGCCTCAACGGCAAAAGCACACTCCTCACTGTTCCAACGCATGATTGTGACTGAACTGTGTCAGTACAAAACTTTATACTCCCGCCTCTCGAACGAGACCACTAGTGCTCCGCTGCGTCTTGAACCGACTGAATGGCGCGCATTTTAATAAGGAAGTTATGCGGCCGCACCCTGTATTACTAGAAAGTAGCCATATGTTGAAGTAACTACACATGTAAAACGATTTTTGTCTTTGTTAAGCTCTTTCCTCTTCTTCAAAAAGATGCATAGTTTGTATCTGGGAGTGCTTCAGATTTGTATGAACTTGTAGTGAATTTCTTTTTATTTTCCCCCTAAATATCATGTCTTTGTGATCCATCTGCAGCTCACCAGAACAGGTTAGAAGAGATGATTAATGAATTAGCAGTGGCCATGACAGCTGTCAAGCATGAACAGGAATATATGGAAGTTCGTGAAAGGATACACCGAGCAAGTAGGTAGCTTTATTCGACCTATGTGTGTACCTGTTCTGACAGTAAGTAATACTATACTTTTATATCAGCTTTGTATTTACCATGTATACTCGAGTATAAGCCAAGTTTTTCAGCCCCTTTCTTAGGCTGACCCCTCCCCCAGCTTATACTCAAGTCAAGGTTATTTATTATTTTACTCTGTTATTTATTTTTATTACATTTATTGTTTTACTCTTTTTATTACTATTTTTGTTACATTTATATTATTTTACTGTTATTCTTTTTATTATATTTATTATTTTACTCTGTTTGTTAATACATTTATTTTACTCTATTATTACTGTTATTATTACATTTCCATTATTTTATTCTATTATTTTTATTACATTTATTATTATTGGAAGGATACGTAAACACATTTTCATTGAAGAAGGTTAGAATACTAGTTTAATCAGAGTTGGACAGTTTTATCTTAAATTACAGTTTTATATAAATATTCAAAAACATTTAACCTCAATTAATGTAATTTTATTGGTATCTATTTTTAATTTGAATTTTTTTCGGTAGCTGCTGCATTTTCCCACCCTTGGCTTATTCTTGAGTCAATACATTTTGTGGTAAAATTAGGTGCCTCAGCTTATATTTGGGTCATCTTATACTAGAGCATATAAAGTACTTATTTATTGCCTTCCTCCTGACATAGGATCCAAAGTGGCTTGGTTATGTGTACCTTCAAGTCAATTCTGACTTATGGCCACACTAAGTGGAACTATTATAAGGTTTTCTGCTTGGCAAGATTTGTTCAGAGAGAGTTTGCCTTTGCCTCTGGGGCTGAGAGTGTGTAACTTGCCTGAGGCCACTCAGTGGGTATCCATGGCTGAGCCAGCATTTGAACCCTGGTCTCCAGAATCAGTCCAGTGCTCAAACTGTTACACCACATTGGCTCCCAGGTGGTTTATATCCAGGTTAAAAAAATAGAACTATAAATCTGATAGTTAAAATTTTAATACAGACTGCAATATTAATTAAATTAAGTTTTAAATCAGTTAAACATTTCATATCTGCTATTTTTGCAGTCAATAAAGTAAGATGTGTCATTCCTGTGTTGATGAAGCAAAGGCTGTGACAGTGAGGGAAAGAGATTCAAGAGGGGGCTTTTCAGATGAGTGGCTCATAGTCTCTTAGGTGCCATACTAGCCAGTTATCCTTGAGTTGCAAAGCATTTCCAGGGTAAAAAGGTAAATACCCTTTTCAGACTGAGAGATGTGTGAAACAAATGGCATAAACTATATTGTATTTTTGTATCAGATTTTAATGCTTTGTCATAATCAAGGTCTGTGATGAGAGAATCATGCAGGTTTACAGTCAACTTCCTGTTGCAGCTTTAAAACATTCTTGTAAACTGCAATCCATTTGCATCTGAAATAGATTGCAGCCCCCTCCTCTGCAGAGGTTTGTTAGCCTTTAAGAGACCACAAAGTTTTGTGTTGCGTTTGTTATTTTGTGCATCTTGCTCCGGTATTCTGAATGTGGAACTAAATGCTTTGTTCTTTTCTGTTTTTCTCCCCATCAGTTAATGACAACACAAACAGCAGAGTGGTCCTCTGGTCGTTTTTTGAAGCTCTTGTATTAGTTGCCATGACACTGGGACAGATCTACTACCTGAAGAGGTTTTTCGAAGTCCGGAGAGTTGTTTAATCAGCCCCTCCCCCATTCTCCAGGGATCCCAGATTCTCCATTCACCGTATACCAAACGACTTGGTTACCAAGATTATTTAGTTTACTTTACCCTTGCGTTCTGAATGATAAAACCTGTTTTAAGTTTCTTCTTAGGTGATTTTTATATAGATATTCTCTATAGGGGAATAATGTGCTGAGAGCTGTTCATTCAAATCGGCAGATTTTTTGTTTCTCACACGCCAAAGTGGGTTTAACCAAAATTGCAAGATTTAAGGCTGTACTGTTAGTCTTCTTAAGTTCTTCTTCCTTGAGTCTTTTATCCCCCTCCCCTTTTAGTAAGGAAATCCTTTTTTTGTCTAGGAAAAGTGATACAATGCCCTAAAAGTGACTTTTTCTTAATACTGTTGAAACCTGTAAGGAATCTCTTAATTCAATAATTGTACATGGGAGAGGAATCATGGCCATACTACAGGCCCTGGCAGTATGTCCTCGAAAGTACAGAGCATGTTCCTGTTTAGGCAGCATCTGAAATATCTCCAGTACTTTTATGTTAATTGTACTGGGTGGTTCTTTACAATTCTTATTAATTTGAGATCAAAATGCAAAACTGATCAGGTAGCCATGTGATGTGGGTGTGCAAGCCAGTGGAAAGGCAGCCAGTTATGGGAATTTAGTCAAATATATTGTTTCCCTTTTTTTTGCTTCCAGTTCCAATCCTCCTCCCGTGTTTTAACGCTATCCTAGTACTATGTTCAGGATGCCGATTCCCGATGCCAAAGGGTTAAAAGTTGGAGGGGCAGGAGGTGATTATCGTGCTTGGCAGCCCATATTTTTAAAAGCCACGGCTGTGTTGTTGAATGATCCTACGAACACCATGATTTGTAACCATCTTTTCTATGAGGGAGATTTGTGTGCCTTTTAAGTGGCAGAGAAAAATGAAACGTGCTGTTTTTCACTGCCAGTGAATCTTCCCAAGAGGCTTTTGTGCATTTAATAGCGACACAATATAGAAGCTTATCCAGTGTAGCTGCCCATTATTAGAACATGGGGATGCAAACCTATACCTGTTGAATTTTTCTTTGTTGAACTGCTGTTACAGACACAGGAGCCTCTGTCAAGAAAGGAGTTGGCGCTCTCAATTAGGAACATGTTGAAATATCAATGCATTTTGTGCTTTTTCTCTCTTCAAACACACATTGACTGCAGTTTTTGTACAAACTATTTTTCTTCTTGTTATTTGGATGATGGGTTTTAAAATTGCCGCATCTGTCTGTGGGAGCGGGAGCGGGTGCTGATCCAAGATTATGTTGTGGCTCATGTATATTGAACTGATGTATATTGGTTGTAATTTTGGGGATGGGTGGGCATGGGTTCTTTTCAATTTGGGAAGGGGAGCACAATGCATAAAGAGTTTTGTACCAAATTTAATTTAATTAAAATTTGTTACAAGTTTTCATGGTTCAAGCAATTTTTTTGAGCCCCAGGTAGTTATCTAACAGCAATTCTTCAAATGGTTGTCTAGCCCCCTCTCAGTGCAGCTGTTGTATGCCAACTCTGTGTATGAGACAAATGGAATTCCAATTGTACATTGAAAAGTGCTTGAAATGTTGCCGGATTCGATAAATAAACACATTCTTTAAAAAAAAAAAGAAAGAGAGAGAGAGACTGATGCTTGTCTTACATTTTAAATAGTGGTTTCTATGTTTTTCTCAGCCTGTTTGCAAGGAAACCGGTTCTGTGGAATATGACCCAAACCCATTGAACCTATTTATTTCTTCCTGCACTTGGATAATTTGCTGGTTTAATTCAGTGTCTGTGAAGCTGGTTAAAAGACAAGCTACTTGTAAGACTAATTTTTAGAAATTTGGGAGACAGCTTTATTACCTCAAGAAGTAAAAGGAGGTGTTTCTCAAAGTGTAAAGGCTGAAAGACTGGGTGATTATTTCACATAATTAGTTTTAGAATTAATACCCCACCTTTCCTTTGAATGACTGAAGAACGTAATATCTGATGAAGGTAAGTATAGTCCAAACTCACAGAGCAGTGGGGCAGATGATAGACTTGTAACCAGTGAATGGAGCCAATGAAGACTTTCGAAGGGACCTGAGTGTTGGAACCAAGACTTCCTTCAGCTGCACCTCTGGTAGCTAACAGATGGAGCCAATCCATTGTGATATATTATGTGAAGAACTAAAGTGGCGCCTACATTGATTTGCCATTGGATGAATTCACTTCACACTCATTCCACTATGGAAAATTGGCCCTGTTTCTTCTATTCCATTCTGCTTGTATAGATCCAAGCATCTCCAGATAGGGTTGAGAAAGGCCCTCACCCCAAACTCTGAAGAACAACTGATCAGATTATTTGTATTTATTCCTGCTTCTTGGCAGGAGGTTGGACTGGATGACCCACAAGGTCTCTTCCAACTCTATGATTTATTTAGAGTAAGCTCTTTAGCTACAAAGACTCTCAGAGCGGCTTACAAAATGCTATCCGCTGTTCGTTTTAGTTCATGCAGATGGAAATTCAAAGGGCAATCTTACAAGCCCTCCCTTAAACCAATTTTGACAATTTCATGGAGGTACTAGCCATTAGATGAGCTGGCTACTTTGGACTGCAGTTTCAACTCTCCCACCCACCATGGCAAACAGTCATACTAATTGGCAGAATGTGAGCATTATAGTTCAAAAAACTGTTTAGATGAGACCATATTTGGAAACAGCCTGCTTCAGATTCACTGTCTCTTGTAGCATGAAACTCCCAAAGTGGCTTGGCCCAGCCCATCTGTCTAAGATTGCCACATTTTAGAAGGGTATGATGACAAAAAGTGAGGGTTGAGAAACCCTTGTCCACAAAAGAGCAGATATTCTGGATGAAGCCTGTAGACAACCCAACTGCTCCTGAATATGAGTATATTTCCCTCAAGCTCTGCAGGTTCAAGAATGGAACTGTATTCTCAACAGTTGTGGCCCAAGGATATTTGAAGGGCCACCACACTCTTACGACATGAATAGACAACTCGGGTCCTGGCAGCTGTCAGGCTAGTGTGCCAACACAAACCAGTATGGTCAAGGGTGGGGATTATAGTCCAAGATTGTCTAGAGAGCCAACATTTCCTACAGGAATTGTATTGCTTTGTTAGCCTTTCCCAGCAGAGGGCTTTGAGATACTGTTGGGCCAAACCTCCCATCCCTAGTCTCATCATTGATGGAATATCACTACTGGGATGATGAATAATGTAGTCCCCTTGTCTCTGGAACTCTGTCCCTATGCAAATCCAAATGGCCCCCTCCTGGCTGTCCTTCCAACAGCAGGTTTTAAAAGAACAACACCTTTGAAAGAACATTTTTGAGACAGAGGGTGTGGATTGGCGTTTAGATATTTTAGTATATATTTTAATGAGGACTCAATATTTACAACCGCTTCTGGTCAGAACAAATAATTGGGAAGCAAGATAATAATAATTATCCATGTACTTTAATCCCAATAATTAAAGTATATACAGCTAAGGTTATGCTTTTATATGCAGCAGAAGTATGGGGCTTAAGTTCCACCTCAGTAAGAGAACAAGCACAATCTCAACACTTGAAAAGCATATTGGGAGTAGATAAAAGGACCTCAGCTTCTGCAGTGAGAGCCGAACTGGAAATTTACACAATCTATGCACAGTCTAAACTCTGAACGTATAATTACTGGTGTAAAATCAATGTAATGGAGCCTGATAGATTCCCAAAATTGTGTATTAGAACAGATAAAATCCCAACTACAGACCTCTTGGGTTATGCAAATGACAAATTATATAAGAAACTGTAGTTTCCGTGTCTCCTGTGCTTTAAGAGACCAAGTAAACAAGAGTGCTATACATAGAATTTTGGACATAGATGCACAAAAAGATATAGCCACCCTCAGCAAGGTTGCCAACCTAAAATGGCTGAGTTGATATAAATGTACCTTTCAACTACCTAAACAATTCAAATTCCAAAACACTTTAGGGAGGTATTTACTCGAGCTAGATTTGATCAGCCTGATACAATGCTCAGATATGGGAGATTTAACAGCATCCCTTATAATGAATGAATTTGTATCTGCGGAGCACCTGAAACTGAGGATATAGCACACATACGATTTGATTGTAAATTGTATCAGAAGGTGAGAGGCTTGTACCTTGGTCGATGTATCAAACTGACAAATTTATTGGGAATCTCACATCGGAACAATATATTTTATGTGTGGCCAAGACTCAGAAATAACATATAAAACATCTTCGTATTTAAGCAAAGCAATGCGTCCGAGATCCACATGTGTGGGGCTGATTGGGGTCAATGGTAGAGGGGATAGGGAAATATGTATATATTCAGTTTTATCACTTATTTACTGTATTATTATAAGTGCCTTATTTAACTTACTACATAGAGTTTTGTTAAGTTGTATCAAGCTTTGTGGTTTGGTTTGGTACGGTGATATGGCCTAAGGGCTAATCAATACACTTTATTTATTAATAATAATTGTCTTTATTTTAATTATTTTATTATTATTTATTAAAATCAACCTCAAAGATGGAAACGTGGTATGACAGGAGAAAAGAACCCAGCATTCTCCTAAATCTTTTGGATGACAGGTGCCCTGAAGCAGCAGGGCTAGCTGTGCTGCCTGATTGGATTTGTAGTTGGCTGCCAAGGAGCCCCGGAACGTTTGTGCTGGTGCGGAACTCTAGTGTCGCGAGCTTTCTTTCCCAGCCGGCCCCTTTAAAGAGACGGACGCGTTGCTCGTGGAGCCCCAGGGACAGCTTCTCAGCCCGATTAGACGGCAATGGAGAACGTTACTGAGGGAACTTGGGACTCTCTGCCGGTTCAGCTGAGCCCCGGCGTCCGGAAGGCCTTGCGAGAGATGGGCTTTCCTCACATGACGCCTGTGCAGGTAAGAAAGGCAGGCCCAGAGTCTAAGAAGGCTTTTTCTATGAGCCTTCTCTGTTTCAATAGAAAAGGTGTTCTAGTTCACCCACATTTAGAGAGCCCGGTGACTCCAACCGACAACGGATCTGGACCAAACTTGGTACATTGACCCAGTATGGCCAACAGAACATATTGGAAGAGGGTTTTTTTGTGGGGGGGGGGGGATTAACCCAGGATGATGGGAGTTACAGTTCACCCCATATCCCGAGAACCCAGTGACTCCCGCCAACAAGGGTTTTAAACGAAACGTGGCACACAGAGCCAGCATGACCAACTATAAACACTGGTGGGGTTTGGAAGGAAATGATCTTGGCTGCTGAGATTTATAGTTTGCCCACATTGCAAGAGCCCAGGCCCGTCGCCAGGATTTCGATTCGGGGGGGGGGCTGAGTCCGAGTGAAAGAGGGTCTACCCTAGCAAACCTTTTGTATCGTTACCCCAATACCCCATGCATATGGGATATATTGAGTAGGGTGATCAGATCATGATATGAATAAACATAACAGTTTAAATAATGCAACAGTAAGGCCTTTTCGCGAACCACCATGAGAATTTCAGGGGGGGGGCTCAAGCCCCCCAAGCCCCCCCCCCCCCCGGCTACATGCCTGAGCCCTATAAACCCAACTGACAATGGATCTGGACCACACTGGGCACGCAGGCTCAGCATGGCCAACTGTCAATACTGATGGGGTCTCGGGGGCAGTGACGGAGGATGATGGGAGTTGTAGTTCATCCACAATCGGAGAGCACAGTGACCCCAGCCAGTGGTGGTTCTGGACCACACTTGGCACACAGAGCCAACTTTGAATACTGGTGGGGGTTCAAGGGGGTTCAGCTTGATTTTTGGGAGTTGTAGATCACTCACATCCAGAGAGCACTGTGATCCCAACCAACGACGAATCTGGACCACACTTGGCACACATAGCCAGCATGACCAACTTTACATACTAGTGGGGTCTGAGGCCATTGACAGAGGATTATGGGAATTGTAGTTTACCCACTTCCACAGGCATTTTAATGGGACCATCCATAACATCCTAAACCAAACAATGATTGCTTCTTAACGTTTACCCTTACAAAATCCCTAACCCAGGTTTTGCCAGATGCCTAAGCAGGTCCCAAGTAACGAAGGGTTCTGCCCCTGAAAAAGCCAATGTCTGCCTCCGGGGTTTGTAATTCTTGTGTAATCTCATCTATGTTTAGTTGGAAGTATATTTCGCCCCTCATTTTGTGGTGCTTAGGTCTTTAAATATCTAAATGTCATCAAAAGATCATCTACACTTTAGAATGAAAGCTCAGTGCTGTAGAATATTGAGAGCTATTATTATTATCATTATCATCATTATTATTATTTATACCCCAAGGAGACTCAAAGTAGCAAACAATGCTGAAAACTATACAATGTGCAATTTAAAAGTGACAACAGATAAACACTAAAATAGAATTCAACATCCAGTAGACTTTCTTCACAGAAATCTTCACCAGAACCTTATGATGTGTAAAAATGAGAGACTCCGTTAACAGGCTATTACAGGCTGTATTAACAGGCTGTAACACCTTAGTTACATCCAGAATGGACTACTGCAATGCACTCCATGTGGGACTGCCTTTGAAGACGGGTTGGAAATTGCAGCTAGTGCAAAGGACAGCTGCCAGATTACTAAGTGGAGCTAGCTACAGGGAACATAGCACACCCCTGC